CCATGCTCCTTATCTTGCTGACCTGTATGTTTGCATGACTAAAGCAATAGTATTTATTTGTGTGGGTATCCTGAAATGTCTTGATGACTTTGAAAGTCCCCACACTGTGCCCACACTTACCTCCGTATTTCAAGCATCACTTCTTGCACAAACAGTTAGGACATGACTTCCTGTGTCTATCAGGGCTCAGTGTTTACTGACAAAGCTCAGCTGCTTCGAGTTGAAGGTCATGACTTAAAGGTCTGCCATTTCAAACCACTTCCCATTGCTGTGTTTTTTACCCTCTGTTGCAGAGTCTTCCTAGCTTTTCCTGGCCAGTGAGGATTCTGTCCTTCTCCTAAATCTTCTGTCTTCATTTTACTATATAATCTTAACTGAATATTTTTATTAAATAGTTTTTAACTCTGTATTTAAATTTTCACATGGAAATTCTGTATTTTGCACACAGTGAAAATTGTTTTAGCTTTATTTATGATATCTGCTGTAAACAAAAATAAATGTAGTTCTTTATAAGTCTCCTTGTTTCATCTCTTCCTTTTAAAAAATATTTCCTGAGGACAGAGACTTAATAGTGTCTTCACACTTGGTTTGCAAATTCCTCTTCTGGTGGATGCTGTTGTGTTATCTTTGTTGTGGCCTGACCCGAAGGCCAGAGGGTTTTCACTGTGGTGGTATAATCACATGTGTGTCCCTTTTGAAAGGGATACACGTTGGGGTTCTGGACAAGTTATGCCATCTGCTGCAGATTAGGAGATGCCTGGTGGTGGGATTTATCTTTGCTGGGGAGGCTGGTGCTGTGGTGAGCATGGGGGTTGCTGGTACTGCATACACAAATGGCACTTGTCCTCTTCTCTTTGACTTTCATTACCTTTTCTTATAATTTTTATTTTATGTATTAACAAATGCCATAAAAGTCATGCTAAGTTAATATGTTTGGGATCTTACATTGTGTGCAGGAAAAGTGGGTAATAACTGTTTGTAAAGCTTTACCTTTGCTACTGGCTCTGGAGTTATATTTACCAGCCTCCCATATCTTCTGGACCTCTGGAAGCTGCAGCTAATGGTGACCTATTAGCTATGAACAGTGGCCTTGTTATATTTATTTAGCCTTTATTTGCTCTATTATTTGCATTTTCATGTCATGTTTAAACCTGGTGGTGTGGTTCTTTTAAACAGCAGGTTCTCCAAAACATTTTTCTTTTTTTTCCTCTTTTTTTTTTTTTTTTTTTTTTTCCCCTTTTGCTTGCTCTGCAATTCTTAGGCTATAATCTCTTCTTTTGTAGTTCAGGAAAAAATATATATAAATCCCAAAAGAATAGTTCCAATAGTTTAATGGAAAGCCTGTGTGATATGTTTTTTTAAAAATTAATTCAAACTGAGCCTCACTAGGGTTTTTTGAATGACAGAAACAAATTTTTTTAAAGTGTTGCTAAAGACAACATTGCTAAAGAACAACAAATGTTATTCCCAATGAACTATTCCATCTTCCTTGCCAAAGAAAAAGCCACCAGGCATAGTAGAAAGTTTGCTGTCCGAGAGGGTGATGAGTTGCCTAATGAAAACGTAGGGCAGTAAATACTATTTAAGACAATACTTGGCACTTCCTTAGTCACAATGGGCAAAGCAATTTGGGTAAAACTAAATTTGCTCTTTGCACAGTTTACAGTTTTGGAGCAGGCTCATTTCTGCCATCTTGATCATTTTAGGCAGAGGCCGTGGCATGGAAACATTAGAAGAGGTTTTTGTGTCTGCAGAAGGTGATGATTTGTTTGACCTGAAGCTTTGAGAAGCATCAGATGTTCATGCTGTTCTCATAAACTTTCACTTATTCTTGCTAAAATATCAGTAAAATAACTTGGAATTGGAGTAATGTTAAGAGTCTAGGTTTGTTGTAACGGTGTTTCTTGTGGTGGTGCAGGGAGCCCAAAAAAGAAAATTGTTTGCATAATCCTATCACTAGAGGTATTTACCTAGCAGTAAACAGTCCATGCCTTGGAATGCTGGTGGACAAGACCATTCACAGGGTGTGGAAAAGAAATGAAACAGACAAAATGAACAATACGAGGAGAGCAAGTTCATCTTAGTTCTCTCAGTCTCAAAATCATTATACAATAAAATTAAATATTCCTTGTGTTCTTCCCAGAAATGCTGCTAAAGAGAGAGACTAGTGGGTTAATTTCTGTGTGAATTTAATAAGCCTGATTTGGGACTCATGTCCTTCTTTGGCCCACGTGAGCAGAGTTAGAGGCCTGAATCCTCCTGCCCTTGCACTGAGCTCACTCCAGAAGCTCCAGTGCTCCTAGTCTCCAGCAAGCACATGGTGTTATAAATGCACCCCAAAGCAGTAATGCTTTGTCCCTTCTCAGAGCTGGAACTGGCAGTGATGCTTGTTTGAAAGGCAAACAGGCTACTACTCTGGTCTTGCTCTGCTGCTGTACCTTACAAAAATCATGGTTTCAGAACAGATGATACTAACGCCTCTTTCCTTGGTTAATGCTTTCTAAGACTTGAAAGCTGCTTGGTGTTATAGATGCCAGTGTAGCACTGGAAGTGCAGAGGTGACGTTTGCTGTGTCTGGCAGGCTTGGGAGTTGCTCTGTCTTTCCTCCTCTTTATACTGGTTAAAATGGGTTCTGAACTTGTCTGTTGCTCCTGGGACCATTTGGATTGGAAATACATACACAGATGTGCATTTTTTGAAAAGCCAGGCTAATCTTTCATTCTCAAAGCAAGGCAGCATTACCTGCATAGATGTCTGTTAATGAAAAGCAAACATGTCACAGTTCTGTAAAGGTAACCTTCCTTTATTATAATTATGCTAATACACTATAATGAAAAATATGCTACAGGTTTAAACACACTTGATTTGAAAGAAACAATACAGAAAAAAAACTTCTTAAAATTGCTAAAATTCAGACATCAGTCTTTCATTAACTCTACCAGGAAGAGTAATTTCTGTTCCTCTCAGTTTCTTCAATATTGCTACAGCTCTAAAATGCCAATTAAAGTTGCTTTTTTATGTATTCCAACCTCAAGAAGGGCTATGGTTTGCTTTTCCCCACAACATTATGGCAATTAGTTACTATAATTTGCTTTAATTCACTTCTGGCTCACTCATTTTTTGCATTCAAATCAAAACAATGAGTTCTGAAATGCACTGAATTCTGCATTAATATTTATGTTTTCGAAGGCATGACATGTTTGCAGATGACTTGATTTTTGTGCAGGAAAGATCATGCTGCTGAAGATCAGAAGACATTATGTATTAATGCTTGATCCAAAATATGCATATTAGTCATGTAAATATTTCCCCAAGTCTCTTTCCTTTTCTTCATGAGCTGTGTTAACATAAAAAGAAGGGAGGCTTTGATCTTACCAGGTGGTGGGCTCCAACCTTGTTTGAAATGGATGGAATTTCTGATATGTTTTTTTGAAATGTGGAATTACAAAGAAATTTGCATATCAGTATAGTCTTCAATTTGCTCTTTCAGCATTTATTCTGCAGGTCTCCATTCGTGTCTGTGTTTCAAGATTTTTTGGTGCTTTGAGGCTGTGTGCAAAAAATAGATGACTCTAGAGGCTGACACTGTTGTCACTGCAATCCAAATTGCAATTACTACATGAGTTAATATACCAGACTGACACAGATTGCTCTGAGAAAATATATATAAAATATATACTTGCTCTAAAACTATAGAAATATTGTGTTTCCATAAAGATACACATCCAGTATGTGTAGTAGTTTTTCAGAGAGTTGCTTTTTCCTTTATATCTATTCATTTTTGCTTAGTTTGTATTTAAGTATAAATATGCACCATCCTGGATGCATTCAAAAGTCACCTGCTTTGGGCTCACTCTTGCTTTGCTGACTTCAAATTCCCTGGTTATGTTTTGTGCCTGAATTCAGAAGTGCCTGTTTTTCAAGTAAGTAATGGACACTTTGAAAAAGTGATGTTCTGCTGAAGACCTTGTGTAGGTGCTGGTATAGGCCTGTGGGAGAGGGAGTGAGAGAAGATGGGCTTCTCTTGT